GCGGTCTGATCAGAACTGGGTCTGTTTTTAGACTTGAGAGAATACATTTTTCTTCATTCTTGGCATGTTCTCTAAAAAATAGTTTTAAGTAGGGCAGAAGGTTCTGGAACATGAAAGAGAGGAGAGAGGATGATTGACAGGAGAACACCTCCGACACACGACACACGTTCAAGTTGGAACCAGTTTCCACTGGAGGAACACGCTGGTCTTTGACGACGGTTCAGGGTAACCATGGTAGTACTCTACGGAGTACTCTACGGAGTACTCTACGGAGTACTTTGTACTGAAATGGCACCAAAAACATTCACTGTAAAACAGTTTGTACTTTTAAAATTGAATTACATGAAAATAAAATAATTCAATAAACACGTCCACCGTCAAATATACAGATGAAAAGATCGAGGTGGATATGAATGAATTAGTCAGGAAACGAACACTGGAGTGAAACTGAAGCTGTTTGTCGTTTACTGCGTTCAAAGATCAAAGACTGTTTTTATGTCCGTCCACTTCTGTATTTGTTGTTTGCGAGCTTCATGTTGATTTTTGTCCGTCTTCTCGTCTGTCACCACTAGGTGTCGTACAGTGAGAAGGACTCGGAAAATCAACCCAGTATTGAGTCGGTCCCAGGAGGGGGGCGGGGGTCGCTGCTGCTGCGGGGTCTGCAGCAGTACACGCTGTACGTGCTGCAGGTACAGGCGTACACGCAGGTGGGCCACGGCCCCCCCTGCCCCCCCGTACTCCTCCGTACCAAGGAAGACGGTAAGAGGTTTCCCTGAGTGTGTGTCCATGTGGTCACTGACCCTGTAGTCTCTCCTCACCTCTTTTACCACTTCACTGATCCACCACTAGGTGGAGCTCGCCGCCAGACCCTCGACAGCCCAAACACGGAGAAACTGTGTGAAATGTGAAGGAAACCGTTTTAGTCCTTTACAGTAGAATAGTGAAAAACACACACACACACACACACACACACACATTTTTTGTGGCACGTTTGAAAGAGATTTTCTCATTTCAAAATGGAACAAGAACAAAGAAGTCAATTTCTGGTGATGTTTAATGAACCGTCATCATCTGTCACACACACACACACACACACACACACACACTGTGGGTGTGTGTGTGTGTGTGTGGAACATGAACCATTGTTGGAAACAAAGACAGAGTCGATGGGACGGAGAGAGAAAATTCCATTTCCTCTTTTTTGTCTTTTAGATGTGTGATTATAAATGTGTGACGCCCCCTGTAGGTACTGGAGGGTAACGTGTGTAAAGCTGTTCACTAAACCCCATTAATGTTAATAAACGTTT